GCAACGACCGGCGACGACGTAGGTAACTATCTCGTGGCGTAACTTTTGGTTTCATACATTTTGCGAGTATAATCTTATCATTTGCTAATTTATTTATTTTTTATGTTACACCGCAGTACAAGCTTGTAATGAGTAGTATTCTGTTAGTTAAACCACAGGTCCATGGGATTAAAACGACTAAAATTTAACGGTGTATATCATGGGTACACTAGGGGACATAGACCTGCGACACATGTCGCCAGCGACGTTGGGTGGAGTAACGCGACGTTGCCAGACTTTAGTCAAGATGTCTGGCAACATCAAAGGCTGGAACTAAGGCACGCGTTCTCACCGTATACGTCAGGCTACATCGGCCGTTTTCGCTCGACATGTACCGATACATGTCGTGGTACAATAGGGTAGTTTCCAGGATAAGAAAATTAAAAATCTAATTAGTCCGTCAGTTACTCACAAGACATTTTTTTACATAAAATACTTATAATTTGTGTGGAAACCAAAAATCTTTTCAGGCAACTCCCTCTGCCCTAATTAGCGGACCTTAATTACTTTTATTTTTCTTAAGTTTCTGCCAACCTAAAAACTTTTTTATCTAAGTATTGATTTCTCATACGACAAAATAAAAAAATACGTGTCTAATTATGTTTTCATTACCTAAATGGCAGACTAATTAGATTTGTAATTTTGATACCCTGTCATCATCCCTATTCGAGTGAAAACCGCTGCGTTTCCACTCTATTGCGGTTGGGGCCTAAGATCGGTTGATGATTTCGGCTACGCAAAAATGTGTTTAATCTACAAAAAAGAGGTTGGAGTCGGTTTTTTAAAGATACCTACTTTTAGTACCTAAGTAAGTATAGTTATTCTCTTCTATAATCTTAAAAATATATAAGACTTCTGTGTTTCTAGTACTTCATCCATTCTCCTTATGAAATATCGACCGCAATATCCAATCCGACCGGTGAAGTGTTACCTGGAGAGGAACTAATTATTGATTATAAGGTAAATATATTCACAAAGTTATGCATTTGTCCCATGTTGAGCAGAAATTACAGAGTATTTTTGTATTGAAACATGGCTCAAAGATCCCATTTTTTTTTTATATTTTAATGGGCCGACGTTAGACCACTATCTCGCCTGGTGGTAAGCGATGATGCGGTCTACGATGGAGCACGTCGTCCCATAGGCAATCTATTCGCTCGGGCCTTGAAGACCCCCAGGTTATACCCTTCAGGAAATACAGACTCTGGCAAAGAATTCCACTCCTTAGCAGTACGCACAAGGAAGCTTGACTTCGTACGCGCAATCCCGATATTTCCCGTTCCCGTTCTTGATTTTCGGTAAAAAGTAAAAAAAAGAATTGGGTAAAAAGTATCCTATGTCCGTCTCCTGGTTATAAGCTACCTCCCCACCAATTTTCATCCAAATCGATTTAGCCATTCTTGAGTTATAAATAGTGTAACTAACACGACTTTCTTTTATATATATAGATTAATTAATTGATTTTGACTGTAAGGTGGTGGAAATCCAGGCTTCTCCAAGTGTGAAGACCTTACGCCCTGAACAGAGAAGATGCAAGTATCCAGACGAATGGATCAGCGATTCTATTCGAGTAAGAGAAACTTAGTTTTTTTTAATAGGGTGGCGAATGAGTCTACTGATCACTTGTTGGTGAGCAAAGTGCCGACCATGGATACCCTTACAGTGTCAAACTCTTACTGACTAAAAAGTACTAAAAACCACCCCGTTCCTACTCCTGCACTTCGAGCCGGAGCCCCGGTAACCCTTTAAGTCCTCCGCGGCTCGACTTTTACACTATAAGCCAGTATTTTAAAGTATTGCCATAATATGCGACTGCCTCGTTGGCCGAGTGGTCGAAAATGCTACTGCCGGGCAAGGGGTCTCGGGTTCGATTCCCGGGTCGGGCAAAGTACTACTAGGTTTGTAAAAAAATCTTAGTGGTAGCACGGAGTCTGGAATTGTGCCCGGTATATGGCAATAGGCTCACACCCTATTACATGGGACTTATAACATAAATAGTGAAAAGTGGGTGTTACATTGTACAGTGGCATTAAATACCGTAATGTACGGATATATGTATGTATTTACAGTTATGCATAATCATAAATTTATTTATATAGATTTTTCTGTGTCACATAAACCATTATAAGTACCTATTACACCTACTGTTGCACATCTCTGCATCACCCCATGGTTGACTGTTAGAGAATGGCACCCGGCATTAAGTCCGCCATCGTATGTTTGTTATACAGAAGTGTTAATAAATAAATAAATAATGTGCACCTCTGCCTACCCCTTCGGGGATAAAAGGTGTGATGTTATGTTATGTTATATGTGACATAATATTGTAATGTATTTTTAATTTCAGGCATACAGTTTTTCTCTATGTCAGATGCACTGCCGCAGTCGTATGGCCGTCATGTTCTGTGGATGTAGACCCTACTTCCACGTCAAGGGAGGTGAGCAGTACTTCGCTTTTTATAGGATTTATCCGACTTTATGTGTTGGACTAACGGCCGAAATTAATAACCTATCTTGGTCCAAAACCTTGATAATCTTGATTTTGAACAAAGGAGTTTATTCTATATAATATTTACAAGAGTGCTGGCAACTGACAAAAAAAAACCATACGTTCATCAAACCAGGGCCTCTAGCCAAAAGCCACTTTAGCGCTTGTCTACAGTGAGAGTAGAAATCAAAATGTATGGGGATGACACTGACAAGTGTCAAAATTTACGTCAATTCCATATAATTTGGTTTTCTATTCTACATGTAGACAAGCGCTAAATGGCATTTGGCTAGCACTGCTGGGCCTCTAGCCAAACGCCACTTTAGCGCTTGTCTACAGTGAGAGTAGATATCAAAATGTATGGGGGTGACACTGACAAGTGTCAAAATTTACGTCAATTCCATATAAATTGGTTTTCTATTCTACATGTAGACAAGCGCTAAATGGCATTTGGCTAGCACTGATGGATAGATTGCAAAACTTTGACATTAGCTGTTAAAAGAAAAACTGTCAATGAAAATTTCCAACATAACATTATTTTATTGAAAAGAATAATAATAATAACAAGTTTATTCATTTAGTTTCAATATTCATTTCTATAGATATATTTTCGTTTGGTAAAACGTTAAATTTCGTTTTACGATTTGGAATCTCGGTTGCGTTTGACGTATTGCATCGATTTATGAAAAGGTAAGTCATCCGAGGGGCTATGAAATCTGACTGTGGGCTCGTACACAAAACTGCGATACGACGTCGCATCGCAAAAATGTGCGAGCTCCCTCTACGCATCGCAAGAACTTGCGAATTGATTCGCATCGCACATCAAAATCTTATCTTCCCAAATTCTTCTTTGTTTCCTTTTCCAGTATCTCCTAAGCAATAACAGAAGTGCACACTTCTTTTTACGATCCATGTCACGACCTAGTTTTAAATTTAAAATACGTTTAGTACGGTTGACGGTCGTCGAAGGAATGGTCACCCTGGGAGACGCCTTGTCGCACGAAATCGCATTCCATAATCCAGTCATTAGGTACATCTAATAGGTTCCAAATTTTAATAGGTATTTCTCTAGGGTTACTCCGTAAGTTTGTTTAAATCGATTAATCACGTCTCTCAACTGGTTTCAAGCCACACCGGGACCCATGATAAATTATGTGGTCAGACTCGAGAGCTTGCGCACATAGTTTATAGTTGTTATCTCAGTCACGCTTGAAGATGGTCGACCTTTTTTAACCGATTTAAAAAGAAAACAAAGAAGGTTCCTAATTTGAACTAGGTATATGTATGTATATATGTATGTGACGCGATTATCTCGCTATATTGGCTCAACAGTCAACCGATTTTAATGCGGTTTTCAGAAGAATTTCTTAGGTACACTTAGGACAAGCGGGCTTACTCTTGAATCCAATTCCGATCGATCGACATTGGTATTGTGAACTTCCGTACTCTTGAGTTACAACACTAGCGGCCATTGCATCCGTATTGCGTGGATATTGAATGAACTAAATGGTTTTGAGTTTGGCTTTATATTCCGTACTCTGAATGCTACTTTAACAGCTCCGACAGGGTTTGTATTGACTTTGAATAATTGTTGAGATTTTATTGGATTGAAATTACACTGAATTTGTGACATTGGTTTCAAGAGTAAGCACCCAGGTTTTAGCATATTAAACTAACCAACATAAAACAGAGGGAGTTGAAGTCAGTTCTTTTAAATGTAGTTTTTAAAACAATGGGGTAGATGAGTAATTTTTATTTTAATGTCCGTCTGGTAGATTATTTTAAATCATTAGACACGTATTTTTTATTTTCTTACAGAAACGAATACTTTCGAAGATATTTTGATTTGAAATGTCGCGTGACGTCACTTCTATGTACATTTTTATATACTAAGAAATGACGTTTTAGCTCCCACTCCTAAACTTTGATTCGTTTTATCTAAATATTGTTTTATTATACGACAAAATAAAAAAATACGTGTCTAATATTTTTTAATTACCTAACTTACGGACTAATTATATTTTAAATTTTCATAACCTGTCATCATCCTTATTGTACTAGGTAGCTTATTTTGAGTTTTGATTGAAATTTGACATAATTTTATTTTATTTTGAAAGATGGCGACGTGTGCGATGCGCACGGGATGGCGTGCATCGGCCGGAATGTGGAAATCCTCATCAATATACCAAAAAACCTTGCTAAATGCACATGTCTACCCCAATGCGCCGAACTCAATTATTACTCTCACACAAAAAAGATCCTTGTTCGGTAAGTAGTAAGGCTGTGTTTCCTTCCAACTATTAATTTTAATTTTAATAGAATCTTTTTTAAACAAATACGTAGTTATGTCGCATTATTATTTACATACAAAAACGATTCTTATTTAATTATGAATTAAGTTCGTTTTTAAATGAGAGTAAAAAAATTATAGACGTTATAAAACTTCAAAATTAAGTTAAGTACCAATTTCTATGGAGATTTCAATAATATAATTTAACCAACATGAATGGGACAACACCGGGTTCGGAGGAGGATCCTCGGTCAGCCATCAGAATCAACATGATGCCGCCAAAAATCAGGCTGAATAGGGACATCATATTCACGTTGGAAGACCTCTTTGGTTCGTTTTCATCAAAAAAAGAAACAAATAATTTAATGACACTGTTTAACGCACAATTTTGCTTAAATTTTTAAAGCGCCTGAAGTTATTTTCATAGCACAATGTTGTAGTTCGAATTTAATTTGCTATACGAAACGATTTATTTTTTTATTTGGTTTTGCATAGCTTTTCTGTGTACCTGAAATTAGCAATGGAATATCAATATTTTTGTTATCTTTTACTGACTTTGTTCTTGGATTTTGCACATTGGTAAGTAGATACCCACCTTACTTGTTTTTGAAATGACTGGTAAAGTTCTTCTTCTTTTTTTTTGTATCATAACATAACATAACATCACGCCATTTATCCCCGAAGGAGTAGGCAGAGGTGCACATTATGCCACTGTACAATGTAACACCCACTTTTCACTATTTATGTTATGAGTCCCATGTAATAGGGGGTGAGCCTATTGCCATATACGGGGCACAATTCCAGACTCCGTGCTACTACTGAGAATTTTTAAAAACCCAGTAATACTTTGCCCGACCTGGGAATCGAACCCGAGACCCCTTGCCCGGCAGTCGCACTTGCGACCACTCGGCCAACGAGGCACGACGTTGTATCATGACGGTGGCAAAAAGTACACAGCCCGATGGTATGTGGTTACGTGGTCTATGGACGTTTGCAACACTTTGGGGCATTACATGCGCCTTGCCGACCCTTATGAAGCCTATTTGGTTCACGCTGGCACCGTCTGGTGGTGGTGGAGATTCGGACTTCGGCACTACTTGTGAAGTTGTTGCACTCATTTTGTTCCATCCTTTCATCAAATTAACAAACACCTGTATACTTTCGCTCGCATTCTTTACACGGTTTTATTTTATTTCATTCAATTAACTTGCAATAAATTATACGTAGGTAGTACCTAATACATTTTTGTTGAATGGGGCCTACCGTATTTTTGCTTAGTAGGCGCTAGTGTAAACCTCTATTCTTCATCCAATAGGGAATTAGCTATTGTGATGCCATTGGACGTACAATATTTGACAGCAGCTGTAATTGGACAAAACACCCCTTCCTAAATTTGCGCCATTTAGTGAACAAAAATACAGTAGCCCCTAATGAAGAAGATGTCGCAAATAATTTAAATTTCTTCCAGCGTCCCTAGGTGGCACCACTGCACTGTTCGTAGGGGCCAGTGTGCTGACTGTGGTGGAAACTGTCCTCTTCATCGTTAGGCATCTGGTCAAGCTCATCATCAGAAGGGGGGCACGAGGCAGGGTTGTGGAGTTTAAACCTTAAGTTAAAAAATCAAGTTCTAAAATGTAATAGTGTGATTTGTTCTGAATAAATTATAGTACGAGTGTTTCTTTACATTGTAAGTTACTTACTAATAAAGCCTGTGTTTGATAGAAAAGATGGAGAAACAAACCAGTTTGAAGTTTGGTTTAGTAATGTTCTTAGAATGCTGATTATATAGGTAATAATTATAATTTAAATACAATTAAAGAGCCTAAGAAATAATAATTCGTTTTATTTATAATCATTTGCGTAAATGACAGTTAGCTCATCCCAATGATTTTTTATAGTACTATAAAAAATCATTGGCTCATCCAGTATGATTTGAATTGACATATATTGAGTATATATTTTTTGGCTTCTGCGTTGAAATCATAAAAACATGACCTTGAATTTAATGTCAGTCAGACAGTTATTAGAACCTTGGTACCGAATTTAATAAAACTCGTAAAATGAGGAAGAAAATTTTTTGTAAGTAATTCAAATTAGTAAATAGCTAAACGTAAACTCGATAGCAAGGAGAAATGATAACGAAACGTAGGATGCTGTCATAATGCCCCTCCCACTTTACAAATGTATTTATTTTCGAAAAATCTAACCTAAATTTAACATAAAAATAACAACGAACGAACGACTATCATGTTTTTCACAATGCTGACGTTTATCTTAAACGCATTTTATTATACGTTTTCGTTTTTTTATTATCTAATGTCATTTTGTCATACAGTTCTGCCTTTTGGTTTGGACGTCGGTTTAGTCGGTTTTGCTGCGTATTATTTGACTAAATTGAAGAAACCTGAGCCTCAGAATGTGCTTAGTATATTTGGACCCGATCCTTGGGGTAAGGAAAGTCAGCAGCACCCAGAAAAAGTGGTGCGTTGTATCGCTCACAGAGGCGCTGCTTTGGACGCTCCAGAGAACACCATGGAGGCCTTCAAGTATGTAAGTAAACCTCTATGATTGTAATATCAGGATTCATTAACCAAAAAGATCCTATATAGACTGTAAAAAGGTTTTTGAAGGGAGAAAAAACAGTACACAAAATTGTAAACAAGAAAAGGTACAATTTTTGCTTGAAGACTAATTAGAAATTATTTTATTGACAAAATTCTTTAACGTAGATCTTATTAGTATATTTAGATTCCATGTGAAATAGTGATTCACAGCACCTCCCCCATAGCTGATAGCGTGATTATATTAAACCTATATGTTGACCCGAGCTGTTGGTAATATTCATGCATGTAGTATTTTTTGAGATTATCCCGGACATGTAGACAAATATACGAAAATTCTAAAAACCATTTTTTTCACATGATCACATCCCAAGCATTCTTTAAAAAATATATTCAATGTACAGTTTTCACTTTCCTACTATTTCGTTATATGTATAGTATATAGATTCCTACTATTTCGTTATATGTATAGTATATAGATTCTTTGAAGTAATATTTGATGAAATTAGACTTCTTGTACTGCTTCTTATTTAATCAACAGCTAGTAACTAAATCTAGCTTCCATCATGACCCTCTAACAAGTCAAATATAATATTCTAAGAGTACTTTGGTCATCGTCTGACTCATGGTTGGTGCGGAGGCTGGGCAACTGGCTGCCTTGTTCAACAACACTTTGTGCCATCCACAAATTGTTGTTCCGGATCTGGGTGGCAAGTGTATGTGAACTTGTATGTTTGTATAAGCACCCACGACACAGGAGAAAATGCTAGTGCAAAGCAATGTTAAAAAAATCGTAAAGGGCCTCGTATTGTTACATGCTCAAGGGCCCCAGCGTAGTCTAAGACGGCCCTGTCCACACTCAAAATCCCATCATCAAAATCAAGAAAGCATCTTTATAATCCCTATACCATAACAGAATGAGTATAAGCAGTATACTGTCAACTTAAAGACCTCCTTGGCAACTACCGAAAACTCGCTATCCAGTCTATTCTTGTCCATGAAAAGACAAGAGAGTGAATAGTATGTAGTGTAGCTAAGGACCCTACCAGTCTACACAGTGAAATCTATTTCGTTGTCATCTCGCGGTAAATCAACTAGCCATAAGGAGTACCTTCGATAGTAGAAACAAAAAAATTAAGATTTAATTTTTTTTAGTTTACAACATAACATAACATCACGCCTTTTACCCCCAAAGGGGTAGGCAGAGGTGCACATTACGGCACTTAATGCCACTGTACGATGTAACACCCACTTTTCACTATTTATGTTATCAGTCTCATGTAATAAGGGTTGAGCCTATTGCCATATACCGGGCACAATTCCAGACTCCGTGCTACTATTGAGATTTAAAAAAAAACCAGTAATGCTTTGCCCGACTTGGGAATCGAACCCGAGACCCCTTGCCCGGCAGTCGAACTTGCGACCATTTGGCCAATGAGGCAGTATTTTAATCCAAAAAAAATTTTCATGGAAATACGCACATGAAATACTAGACTAGAGTAAGCACTATTCGCATCGCACGTGCCACCCGACGCGAAATACCTGTTCGAGAATCAAATGGCGTGATGTTTTGTTAATGTAGGTACTATGCGCGGTTCGTATGCGCTTTCGAAGTTTGCTTTTAGCAATGGTTCACCAGTTATTTTTTGTTTTAAACATTTTATTTCTTTGTAAAACTATTGTCTTACCAAGACAGAACCATTTTACTTCGGGACGAAAATGATATGGTATTCACGGTGTATAATTAATTACTTTTAATTGATTTGTTTTTGACAGCTACATTGAGATCCCAACCCGCATTGAGCAAGCGTGGTGGTTAATGCTCAAACCTTCTCCGTGTGAGAAGAGGCCCTTGGTCCGCAGTGACCACTTATAGGCTGTTAATAAGTTAATTGAACAATGATAACATATAGAGAAAATAAAAATTTCGTCAAATGGCAATGGACAGCCATTTGGCACAAGTGTATAGTAATAGTGCATACTATAACCAAGTTCTCTTAGATTTTTACACGTCAATAAAAATACATTTTCATAAAATTCCAGTGCGTAGAACATGACTGCAATATTATAGAGCTGGACGTACGAGCGTCCAGGGATGGCAAGCTCATACTCCTGCATGACGAGGGCTTGGAACGGCTGACTGGTACCGACATATCCAGTGTCCGGACTACTGACTGGGATCGGATCAAGGATATTGATGTTGGGTCTACGCATCCTAACAGGTTTGTGATATTATGCAATTGCCATAAAAACTCAACTCATCAGTTATAGCCCCAACCCCCATCCTCAAATAGGGTAGTTTCTTAAATTTTATTTTAACGTCCGTCTGGTACATTAATTTAAAACTTTAGACACGTATATTTTCTTTTCTCACAAAATTAAATACTTTCGACGATATATTAATTTGAAATATCGCGTGACGTCACAACGTGCCACATTTTGTAGCACGTTATGACGTAACAACCTCCCACTCCTAAACTTGGCGCCATTTTTTCCAAGTATTGCAACTTAATACGAGAAAATAAAAAAAATACGTGTTTAATATTTTTTCATTATCTAACTGACGTACTAATTAGATTTTTAATTTTGATACCTTGGAAACTATCCAATACCTAATCCCCAAAAGGCCGGTAACGCACTTGTAACGCCTCTGTTGCCCCGGATGTCTATGGGCGGTCCCAATTGCTTACCATCAGGTGATTCGTCTGCTCGTTTATAAAAAAATAACGACCCGCCCCGGCTTCGAACGGGTGCAATATGCATGTATTATACATATAAACCTTCCTCAAGAATCACTCTATCTATTAAGGAAAACCGCATCAAAATCCGTTGCGTAGTTTTAAAGATCTAAGCATACATAGGGACAGACAGACGGCGGATAGCGACTTTTGTTTTATACCATGTAGTGATAAGCAATTCGAGTAGTAGGTATTTCACGTCGAGCATGAATAGCAATAACGGACTATAAATTTTGTTAGTTCGATCATGTTAGAGCAAAAATAAGAGTGAAGCTACGTAAAGTACATTCTCATCAAGCAAAAATCAAATGGAATTGTTTGAAACGCAATTGAGCACTTTACTTAATCAAAAATAAATTATTTCGACTGTTCAATACAATCAAATGTTAAAACATAATCACACTTTCATTAATTGATTTTATGACCAACTTGATTTTAGTATTTTTCCAGCAAATTTTTAAGAAATAAGTATGCTGTTTGACGCTAAAAAAACGTGACGTCACAATACACAATCTCGTACAAAATTAATAGAAAACTGTCGTTTTTGACAGTTCGAAAAAAGTATTGAATTTGACTAGTTGGCAAATAGGTACCGTATTGAAAACTGTCCCCATAGTTCTGATATTCCCCATTCTTCTCTCTATCTGCATAAAGTTAAACATCGTCTACACACACATCCATTTATCCTTACTAATATTATAAATCGGATAATGAGTTTGTTTGTTTGTTCCGCTTTCACGCCATAAATACTAAACCGATTGCTTTGAATTTTTGCAGATGTATAGTTAGAAGTTCGGATTAAATAATAGGTTACTTTTTATCCCGGAAAAAAGTATTGGTATAGATGGCGCTGTGTGTATTGGTATATGTCACATTCACATTGGCTTTTTATCGTTTTGTGACGCGAGCGAAGCCGCGGGTAAAAGCTAGTATCTTAATAAAGTTTGAAATCGCCTGTCCGATTCAACACCACGATGACTTGTAAAAAAATCCTGTATATACGAGAGCCTACCTTCTCACAATCGACATAAGACTCAAAATCGTCTATCTATTTCCAGGAAGCAATTCAAAGACGTTCGCCTCTGCCTTCTAGACGACGCGCTAGATTATCTGTTGGCGAATAACGTCAAAATTATAATCGACGTTAAAGGCGAAGACAAGCAGGTATACAGCCAATATTGTTAATTTTTTTTTAATTGCTTGACGTGCACAACAGAATTGTGGAATGATCTGTCGTCGGCGGTATTTCCGAACCGATACGACCTTCAAACCTTCAAGAAAAGAGCGTATTCCTTTTTAAAAAGCCGGCAACGCACCTGTGACTCCTCTGGTGTTCCGGTTGTCTATGTACGGCGCTGATCGCTTACCATCAGGTGATCCGTCTGCTCGTTTACCTCCTATTCTATAAAAAAAGTGGAAGTTGGCCTTTGGTTTGTATTGGGTTAAGTTTTTATAACAACTATCGTGAGACATACTAAATTAAGTAAAATCGCGGGTTAATCACGTGAATATACTGAGAAAACCTCTACTAGTTTCGAACCACAGAGGGGTTCTTCCTCATGAGCAGCGTGCGCGGTCGTGCGCTCGCTTCGGTGCTACTTGCGCTGCAAGCCCAACGCGCCCTCTGTCGGACACTACGAGCGTTTGCTTCCAACTTCGGTGGCGCGTTGGACGATGTTAAAGCACACGGTACTTTCACCAGCGGCGTGGGTCGTGGGTTCGATTCCGGGTTCGGCACAAAGTCAGTATTGCATATAACGCTTACTGTGTCACACTCCAGACTGGAGACGCTGTGGATTGACGTAGACTCCAAGTTCGGCTTCCACGCGGGTGGCAGTGCCCAGCCACCACACAGGGAAGAACCCCTCTGTGGTTCGAAACTAGTAGAGCTTTTCTCAGTATATTCACGTGAGTAACCCGCGATTTTACTTAATTTATTGGGTTAAGGTTTAATTTCAATTGTGGTCAATTTGTGTGTTCGGTTTCATGTATGAATTGTAAAATTAAATCAAGGTTTGAAAGTAGTCTATACGATTTTGGTTATGCTCGACTTGTTTAGAGCCAAAACGTGGCCTGAAAGCTGTGAAGATTATTCAATTCGTAAAGTCTTACAATAAAAAAAAAATGTTGCATTTACAAAAGAGGAAAGTTTATTTAAAACTAGCTTCTGCCCGCAACTTCGTACGCGTAATCCCATTTTTTCCCGTCCCCGTTCGTGATTTTCGGAAAAAGTAAAAAAAAAAATTTGGTCAAAAAGTATTCTATGTCGCTCTCCTGGCTCTAAGCTACCCCCCTACCAATTTTCAGCCAAATCTGTTCTGACATTCTTGAGTTATAAGTGGTGTAACTAACACGACTTTCTTTTATATACATATATAGATTGCGAAAGGTTTTATTTTCCAAATACAGTGCTATTTACCTATTTTATAATTAACAAGTAAACATATGCAGTTTTTAAAACGCCATGTTACCTAACCACTGTACACACGGCTTCACATCGAGCTTTACATAACCAGTATAAACTGAACGTTAATTGTGCGGAAAGATGATGCGACGCGACACCAGGATAAACTGGTTTTGTATAGATTGATGTGTGGCCGTGTGTACATTGAAACATCAACCTTACTTCCTATATATTACACCACACATTTGCTTATCAATCCACATACGCCATAAGTTCATAGATTATATTGACGGCAGGTGATCGCTGGTATCCTGAGTGCGTACGCGTCGCGGCCGGCGCTGTACCAACACGCCGCTGTTACGTGCTTCAATCCATTTGTACTTTATCAGGTAAGCAGATGTCTTAACGATATATACCTACCTAGCTTTTGCCAGCGGCATCGCCCGCGTAAAAAGTAACCTATGTGTTTTTACAGAGCATAATCTATCCCTGTTCCAAATTTCATCGCGATCAATTCAGCCGTTTTGAAGTGTCAGACTAACAAACAAACAAACACAGACACACACACCCTCACACAAACACACACCCTCACACCCTCACACACCCACCCACACACTCACACACCCACCCACACACACACACCCACACACACACACCCTCACACACCCACCCACACACACACCCTCACACACCCACCCACACACACACCCTCACACACCCACACACACACACACTCACACACCCACCCACACACACACCCTCACACCCACCCACACACACACACCCTCACACACCCACCCACACACACACCCTCACACACCCACCCACACACACACCCTCACACACCCACCCACACACACACACACTCACACACCCATCCACACACACACCCTCACACACCCACCCACCCACACCCACACACACCCACACCCACACACACCCACACCCACACACACACACACACACACACACACACACACCCTCACACACCCACACCCTCACACACCCACACCCTCACACACACACACCCTCACACACACACACCCTCACACACCCACACCCTCACACACACACACACACACACACACACGTGTGTACACACATACATACATATATCCTCAACAACTTTCGTAAACGTATTATATCAGTAAGATTAACTAAATTGTTCCCGCGACTTCGTATAGGAATTTGAAACACATATTCCGGAATTTCATTATGTGGCAGGAAAATAATATACAACACTGAGACATTATGTTATATTTTACTTACAGATTCGTAGAAATAATCCGGACATAGTGGGCGCCCTCAGCTACCGGCCTTATTGCTTCAGCTCACAGGACTATGACGCTGAGAAGGGACCTAACAATCCTAGGTAAGCACATAACATAACATCACGCTTTTAATCCTCGAAGGGGTAGGCAGAGGTGCACATTATGCCTGTAAAATGTACAATGTAACACCCATTTTTCACTATTTATGTTATGAGTCCCATGTCTGCCTATGATCCTAGATAAGCATAATAATGATAATAAGGTGCATGGTTGACCAGACAACTGGGTGCTGTACATCATGTCGCCGGTTTGATGTCAATTTGGAATGGTAATTAATGATAAACATAACATTACGTACGCCTTTTATTCCCGAAGAGAAGAGGAGGATGCATTTGAAGCGGGCATCTTAAACCTCCGGGCTACCACGACATACAATGGTATTTTGTGTTAATTAAAATCTTTGTTTTACAGAGCAAGTCACCCTTATTATTATTTAAATATAGTACAAAATAATCCTTTTATAAAGCATTTAATATTATAAAGAAGTGTGGGAGAGCCATGCTTCGGCACAAATGGGTCGGCTCGAGGTAGTCCTCGTAGCGCTTCTGTTTTTAAGCGCTTTCATGTAAGCGCTCCCGTTTCCCGTTTATCAATAAGTATAGTCCCATCTCTATCCAAAAGATAATCATGGGAGCGCGTTGAGGAAATAAATTTTAATATTTTTAATCGTATTGACGGACCGATGGGATTCCCCGATGCTTGAGCGTTGGATACGACTGCACGCAGTCAAATAGAATACAGTAAATAAATAAATAAATAAATTAAAAACAACATAGAACACATTTTGAATTACAGTTCGCTCAGATTTTATAGTAATAAAAAGTCTTAATAATAACACTCGTAATAGTTTACTTAATCTAGTCTTATACAATATACATGCGAGGAAATAACGTTCTAAGTATATATAGGGATTACCCGAACTAGGTTTATTTAAACCTGTGTTTCAGGCTATCAATGCCAAAAAAATGATTTGATGGTGTTAGGTATGTAGGTAGATGTGCGTGTGCCGACGCACCAATAAGTGCCAACAATAAATGTCAGTGCGTTACTAGCAAGCAGTGGTTTCACTTGTGTCCCCGTATTTAACATTGGCGACGAGGACCTACCCGCGTAAAATAAAGTAACAATGTCCGTTACGGGGTTTGGAATTTTATCGGTGTTTGACCACAATGTACAATCTTGGGAGACGTACAAAGGCCGCATTAATCAGTGGTATGTGGCTAACGACATCACGGAGGTGAGCGATCCTACGGGGATAAAGCGACGAGCCATTCTGCTGAGCGCACTCGCGGATGGCACACACAAGTTGGCAGTGGATCTCGCGTTGCCGAAACAGCTGCAGGACGTGCCGTATGAGGACATTCTGAGACTTCTGGATGAACATTTTACTCCAAAGCGGTGTGGATTCGGCGAAAGGTACAAGTTTTACGCGGCCACACAACAGGAGGGGGAGACGTATGCACAATGGGCGGCGAGATTGCGAGGTCTGACGGCGCACTGTGGGTTTTCCAATGTGGAGGAAGCCCTTCGTGACAAATTTGTCATGGGAATGTTGCCGGGAGCGGACAGAGAAAAGCTTTTCTCGAAAGATCTAGCGGGCCTAACATTAACAAAGGCGATGGAGTTGGCGGAGAATGCGCGAAGAGCTCGTGAGGCAGCGGGCGCCGGGCAGCAGGCTGCGCCACGCGATCAGCTGTTTAAGATTGCGCGGACAAAGGAGTCGGCAACGTCATCGTATCGTGAGGCCGCGTCTGGTTCGGGAGTGAAAGTGCAGTGTCAAGTATGTGGTTATCATAATCACGAGACATCCCAGTGTCGGTTCGCAAAGGCAAAGTGTAGGAAATGCAATGCTACCGGGCATCTGCGTAGGATGTGCAAAAATATTAATTATGTCGAATCGAAAGCTGTGGATGAGAGCGATGATGACGGTGAGTGTTTTAATATTCGATCCGTAAAAGGGGAACCAATGATAGAAACAGTATTGGTATCTGGAATCGAATTAAAATTCGAAATTGATAGCGGATCAGCCGTTACAGCAATTTCTAAAGAAACATATGAAACATATTTTAGTAATGTACCATTGTTAATGACTAGTAAACGGTTATTTTCATATACGGGTGATAAAATTGTTTGTGAGGGTATAGCGCAGTTACAGGTGAGCTATGCGAACACATCGCATGTACTATGTGTTTACGTCGTGCGGGACGGCGGCCCGCCAATTCTTGGCCGCGATTTCATTTCAAAATTTAAATTAGAAATGTTACCGATACAATATTGTGACCGAGTAGATAAAAACGATTTGTTTCTAACACTGCAAGGTCGGTATCCAGCAGTCTTTTCCGATAAATTAGGATTATTTAATAAATTTAAAGTAAAATTACATTTAAAGGAAGACGCAAAACCAGTTTTCATTAGAGCACGACCGCTAGCGTTTGCTTTGAAAAATAAAGTTGATAACGAAATAGATCGTTTAGTAAGGCTCGGGGTATTGAAACCGGTTGATCACGCGCGGTATGCGTCACCCATCGTGCCCGTGTTAAAACAAAACGGAACAATACGTATATGCACTGATTTTTCTACCGGTGTAAACAAACAGTTAATGATCGATCAGTATCCTTTACCAACGGTAACCGAACTTTTTTCTAAGTTATATGGGGGACAGCAGTTTACCAAGTTGGACCTGTCAAATGCATACAATCAGTTTATGTTAGATGATGAGTCACAAGAATTAACGTGCATAAATACGCATAGAGGACTTTTCAAACAAACGCGGCTTTGTTTTGGTATTGCAAGCGCGCCGGCCGTGTTTCAGCGCGCGATGGAAGGCGTGCTGGCTGGCGTGCCCGGCACACTCTGCATGCTTGATGATATCTTGATAACGGGAGAAACTAGATCGGAACATCTCAGTAGATTACATCAAGTTTTAGCGAAATTGCAAGATGCGGGGCTTACCTTACAAAAAGAAAAGTGTATGTTTTTCAAAGACGAGGTTAATTACTTAGGTTACGTGATAAATAAAGATGGACTACATAAATCGCCACAGAAAATAAAAGCTATGATAGAAGCTCCAGTGCCATCTAACATTAATCAATTGCAGTCATTTTTAGGATTGGTTAATTATTACAGGAACTTTGTTCCCAACGCGTCTTCTATTTTAAGCCCTATGTATGAGTTGTTAAAAAAAAATAGCAGGTGGTGTTGGACACAAAAACATGATGAAGCGTTTACCGCTATTAAATCTTGTTTAGCGTCAGATCAAGTGTTAGCGCATTTTAACCCGGAGGCCACTATAATTTTAACAGTAGATGCGTCGCCGGTGGGTCTGTCTGCAATATTATCACAAGTAGAAACTGATAGGTCGGAGAGACCGATTTCATTTGCATCGAGGACACTTAATGCTGCTGAGAAACGTTATTCGCAAATCCAGAAGGAAGCAACCGCGATTATTTTCGGAGTTAGGCGTTTCCACCAATACTTGTATGGCAGGTCGGTTCCGTTTATTCTTCGAACAGATCATAAGCCGTTATTATCGATCTTTGGACCGCACCGGGGTATACCTGAAGTCTCAGCAAACAGACTGCAGAGATACGCACTGTTTCTGAGCGGTTATAATTATCAAATTGAATATGTGCGTAGCGCAAATAACAGTGCGGATTTCTTATCTCGCGCTTGCCTGCCCGAGGGGGCGGGGACGGATAGGGACATGCGGGGCGTTGATACGACGTTGCCTGATCTTGATCGCGCGTCATACATTAATTTTGTGTTGGAGGGTAGTCTCCCAGTTACTTTAAAAACGTTACGCGACGCGACGGAGACTGATTCAACTTTGCGTAAGGTGATAGACTTTGTGTTGAACGGATGGCCTAGGAAAATGTCAGAGGGGGGTGAAACCGTTTCACGCATGTAGGACACAATTGTCTTATGAAAATGGTTGTATTATGCGGGGACATAAAGTTGTAATTCCGGAAAAGTTACGAACAAAAATTTTAATGGAATTACATCAATCCCATTTAGGTATTGTAAAAACAAAAGCGGAGGCGCGAGCGCGTGTTTGGTTCCCGGGAATCGACGCTGCTTTAGAGCGTTTAATAGGATCATGTGACGTGTGCATGCAATTACGACCTTCACCGGCACGGGCGCCGATTGCTCACTGGGAATATCCTCCAACGCCGTTTTACCGGATACATATTGATTTTCTAGGCCCTATTAGCGGTAGTACTTTTCTAGTAGTAGTGGATGCATATTCCAAGTGGGTTGAGGTTTATAATATGAAGTGTAATACTTCTACTTCAGCAACAATTGACAAGTTATACGAATTCATGTCAAGATTTGGTATTCCGCATACTCTGGTTAGCGACAATGGTACATCGTTTAAGTCACATGACTTTGAAGCTTTTTGTAGGGTGAACGGGATTTCACACGTGACATCACCGACATATCACGCGGCCAGTAATGGGCAAGCGGAAAGTTATGTTAAGATAATAAAGAAGGGTATTAAGACAAGCTTGCTTAGTGGTAATAGCCCGCGAAATTTAAATAACAATCTTTTAAAATTCTTGTTCGATTACAGGAATTCCGTTCACACTTTAACCGGGTTGTCTCCGGCTGAGCTGGTGTATGGTCGGAAGCTCAGAACGCGCTTTGACCTATTGAAACCCGAACCGCCATCGCCTTCATCCACAGCTCATGCTAATATGGTTAAACGTAAACAGTGTTTGCAAAATAAGACGGGAGGTCATGACACTCAAGTTTTCGCACCCGGTGACATAGTTTATTATAAAAATCACAAAGTTAATGGTAAATTCACATGGTGCAAAGGGACAGTCATAAAAAAAGTCGGCAGAGTGTTATATGTAATTAAAGATAAGGTAACTTCGAACATTGTCAGAAAACATAAAAACCAGATAATAAAGTATAAAGGCGACGATTGCTATGACGGAAGAGACTTGGAGTTAGATGTAGATGAGGAAAGTGGTGGCTCAACAACAGAGACGCTGGTTCCTGAACATGGGCCCATGATCATCAGGCACAGGCGAAGGAAACGAAGACTCGGTAGTGGCTACAAATAATTCCTCTCAGGCACGGGCTGTCACACCGCCAGGTACAGCCCGAGTTGTTGTGTCACGGCCTACAACACCGGATCAAGCTGGGGAGGAGGAAGAGTACCAGGAAGCGTTAGACGGTTCGTTTAGCACTGTAAATCCTGGAGGAGTGCCACCACAACAGCAGGACGGTGAACCTGTGTTAACACCACGGTCTAAACGCAATCGTCCTAAGGTGAACTATAAACTGTTCTACTAGAGATAACTTATAGTTAGAAACTTATGTTTAGCTATAGCTAGTAATTAGCTTAGTTTTGGGTTGTATTTGTAAGCTAAGGGGAGGAGTGTTAGGTATGTAGGTAGATGTGCGTGTGCCGACGCACCAATAAGTGCCAACAATAAATGTCAGTGCGTTACTAGCAAGCAGTGGTTTCACTTGTGTCCCCGTATTTAACAGATGGATATAATTATAAATAAAAATCGTATTACACAATTATTTAAAGACCAAGCAGGGACAACCTGTCCTAAATTATGAAACAAACAACACTATACTAGTTAATATGTAGATTTATCACTAAAAATAAGCAGTTTATTTTAACACTTCTAGTAATTTTTCCGTTTCTGAGTAATTGAGTGACAACAGTGATGCGTTCTGGTGTCGGATTGGTCCTACAATCTATGTATTTTTATTTTTGGGTGTAATTTGTTTACTAACAATAGTTTTTAAGTATTTTCATGTTACTAACAATTTATGGAGAAATCTGACATAAATTCATATTATTATTATTAATCGTTCCTCTAAATAAAACGGGAGCGCTTTGATGGGAGCGCTTCAAAACGGGAGCGCTACGAGGATTACCTCGCCGGCTCGACCGGAGTGATACTACGGCCGAGTGTAAAACCATTGTTTCGTCGTGTGAGTGAGGTTACCGGAGGCCCGATTACAACCGACAAAATCGACGTGAAGCAGCGCTATAGGCTTGTGTAGTTCGCGAACGAACTAGTTCAAAAGAGCGCTCCCACATTCAAAATATGCGAACTATAGTCAGAATTTTAATTAGATTCCAGATTTGACAATAGCTACTGTCATTTTGTGAAATAATGATACCACATATAATAGTGTAGTGATGCACACAAAAATCGATAAACAATCAGTGTGTGTGTTTAATAAAAAATGTTACAGAAAGTGACAGGATAGCGATAGCGATGACGGCGACAATTTATAACATAACTTATTACCATAATACATCTATCTGTTTTATTTGTCACGTTCCTTCATGATTACATTTTTTTATTTATTTCACACACAATTATAAAAGAAAAGTCTTAGATCGTTAATTAATCGTCGAAACTAAATTATCGGTTCAGAAATATTTAATTTCCTGATATACTTAGTTTACGAGAGTAAAATTATAAACGAGAAGAATCGATCCAGAAATATTGCATTTCCATATCGAATAATTTCGCAACGTCACTATTTAGTACTTGTCATAACGTTGCAACACTGAAATTGTCAAATCTGAAATCGAATTAAAATTCCGAGTATAGTTCACGTCATTCCCAACTCCTTAGTTTCTTAGTTCGTATTTCAAAGTACAAGTACAAGGACTGTGAAGTCGTTTATACCGAACTAAGAAATGCTAAAGATTCATTCCAACTCCAAATCCAACTGGGAGTCGGGAGCTGACGAACTAGGGAGCAATTTGGCTGCCAGTGCCTTCCTAGTTCTTATGCGATTCATTCCAATTCCAAATCCAACTGGGAGTTGGGAGCTGACGAACTAAAAGAGCGAACTAGTTCGTTTAGGAGCGGCGAACTGATCTGAGTGATCTTAGTCGCGAACTATTAAGCACAAGACTACAGCGCTAATAATTAAATATGTTTTTTATAGGTTTGGCGATAACCTCGCGATGCACGGGCTGCTCCGTGTCGCGGACTCAGTGCACGCGCTCGTGTGGCGGTGGGCGGCGCGGTGGTGCGCCGTCAGCGCCGTACTACTGCACAAGGACATTGTTAGCGCGTACGTATCTTATAATTATACTACTAGTTTTTACCCGCGGCTTCGCTCGCGTCACAAAAGGATAAAAAGTAGCCTATGTGACATATAACAATACACACAGAGCCATCTATACCAATAATTTCGTTTTCCCTCGAGAATATAAAATTTTTCCGGGATAAAAAGTACCCTATTATTTAATCCAGACTTCTAACTTTACGTCTGCAAAAATTCAAAGCAATCGGTTCAGTAGTTATGGCGTGAAAGTGGAACAAACAAACTCACTTTCCGATTTATAATATTAGTAAGGATTATGTAAAGCGAAATAAAGAGTTTGTTTTTTTGTTTGTTTGTTTGAACGCGCTAATCTCCGTAACTACAAGTCTGATTTGAAGAATTATTTTTGTGTTGGATAGCGCATTTATCGCGAATGGTTATAGGCTATAAAACATCACGCTACGACCAATAGGAGCTGAGCAGAGCGTGTGAAACGGCGCGGAAGTAGCTAGTTCAATATATATTTACTAGTGGACCCGACACGACTTAGTTTTTTACTATACATCGCGGGTTACTCACGTGAATATACTGAGAGAAGCTCTACTAGTTTCGAACCACAGAGGGGCTCTTCCTCATGAGCAGCGTGCGCGGTCGCGGCGATGTCGCGCAGCCTACTGATGTCGCCGACATTTGTATAATATAATAACTCCCCAAAATCCTACAATTACCTGTGTTAATCCATTAAAACAATGATAATTACATTGGTATATGTTTAAACATAATCGTTTCGTTTGATTTCATAAAAATATCATCATCATAACATCACGCCTTTTAGGCAGAGGTGCACATTACGGCACTTAATGCCACTGTACAATGTAACACCGACTTTTCACAGTTTAAGTTATGAATCCCATATAATAAGGGGTGAGCCTATTGCCATATACCGGGTATTTCCAGACTCCGTACTACTACTGAGATTTTTTTTAAACCCAGTAATACCCGAACCCGAGACCCCTTGCCCGGCAGTTGCACTTGCGACCACTCGGCCAATGAGGCAGTATCTCCATCATCACAAATTAAGATTTTTTCCCCCAATACTTCCAGTACACTTTTGTACAGTTTCAGTGCTATGATGTAGTCTATTTGTATTTAAAAAAGATTTACGTGCTCTGTACAATGTATCTTTTATAGGGCTCCGTCGCAAAATAGCCACTGGTCGCAGTGTCCTTTACTCAGAGGGTCTTATTCGCAAAATGTCCCTTTCGCATATTGTCCCCTTTTTATTTCTGACTCATTCTAATCATAATTCATTTTAGCAATTAGCTTTCACTCATCATGTTCAAGACTTTCCACATTTAATTCCTATCTAGTGTACAAGATGGCGCTGCATGATGTCCTTGTACTATTTTATTTGTTACATATTTTACTATGAATAATTTTAACAATTTTCAATAAAAATAAACATTTATTTTTAATAAAATTTAATCTGTCAAACACCGAGCGGTCACCGGTGACCGCGACCTATTGTTCTTTAATTGTGTCTATAAAAGCGGTACTCGACGAGTTAAGAAACTTTTATAAGACAATGTGTTTCTAAACGTAAAACGGAATATTTCAATAAAGTATAATGAGGGTGTACCTACAAAATAATTTAAGTGGTGTCAAATCAAGTAGAAGTGGTTATGAGAAATTATCGTTCATCCTATTCTACTATTACTAATTAACAAAAAAACATTATGGAGCAAGAAATCCATTTCATTAATAATCAAAAAGGACAACTCACACCCATTACTGGTAATCATATGTAAATACAGTACAAAGAAAACTAATAAAAGTGGTGGTACTTTGTGGAGGTGTATAAAATAGACGCGAGTGCAGTGCTTCATTATCGTTAAATAAAACACGGATAACAATTATTAGGAGAACTCGTCATACACGTGAGCCAGCTGATACAAAATATTTAATTCATGAACTCATTTCAAGTGTTAAGAAGATCGCTTGTGAAACAAGTGAATTTATTTCTGCAAATAGGCTACAAGGCAGCACTTTTACACGTCAATTTTATCAAGCGAACGATGAGGCCGACATTTCCTAACTGACTACTCTGAGAAGAAATGCCGAAACAAACTCAGAGGTCCGTCTCTTTTAAAGTCCAGACAATATGTATAATAGATTATGTGTGAGAACCGTGCAAGTTCTTTCTGTAGTGGCCTTTTGAGGAAAGAATTACAACAGTTTGAGCGGACCCGTTCTGAAGGCAGTACGCATGTGTCGGTTTATAATTAACTCAATAAGTGAGGCTGACTGATTCGATGCACAATACCAACCCAAAGAACATTTGCGTGGGTCGCACAAATACTCAAACTGTCAGAATATTATGGGTAATTGATGTGAAGATTTCACACCTATTTAGCAAATTTTTCAAGAATATCAAACAAACCTCCATAGGAGATCTGATTGTTTACCTTCATTTCGATCTGTTAGTGGCTCGGGATATATTATTCAGGGTTAACGCGTGCTCGTTTTTACCGACTTCAAAAAGACTTCCGGCATTATGTTCGAATGATTGTTTCTTTATCATGTATGTTTGCCGTTGTATGAAATTTATAATTTATCGTCATGGGTGTCGTTTTCATGGTTTTCGAGGGTGGTGAAAATTATGATGTATATTTATTTATTTAAATTGGTATTAATATATTTAGAGTTAATGAAGGTAAGGTGGTGCTGTCAAAATGTAAATCCAAGATGGCCGCTGCCTGAAATTTTCAACTTTTTGTCATGGGTGTCGTTTTGATGGTTTTCGAGGGTGTTGAAAATTATGGTGTTGTCAAAATGCTTATCCAAGATGGCGGCTGCACGAAATTTTCAATTTATCGTCATGGGTGTCGTATTTATGGTTTTCGAGGGTGGTAAAACCGATGATGTTGTCAGAATGTAAATCCAAGATGGCCACTGCACAAAATTGTTAATTTATCGTCTTAGGTATCGTTTTCATGGTTATCTATGGTGATAAAACCGACGGTGTTGTCAAAATGTAAATTCAAAATGGCGGCTGCACGAAATTTTCAATTTATCGTCATAAGTGTCGTTTTAACGGTTTTCGAGTGTCGTGTAAATGATGGTGTTGTCAAAATGCAAATCTAAGATGGCGGCTGCCCGAAATTTTCAATTTATCGTCATGGGTGTCGTATTCACGGTTTTCAAAGGTGATAAAACTGATGGTGTTGTCAAAATGCTAATCTAAGATGGCGGCTGCCCGAAATTATCAATTTATCGTCATGGCTGTCGTATTCACGGTTTTCAAAGGTGATAAAACTGATGGTGTTGTCAAAATGCTAATCTAAGATGGCGGCTGCCCGAAATTATCAATTTATCGTCATGGCTGTCGTATTCACGGTTTTCAAAGGTGATAAACCTGATGGTGTTGTCAAAATGCTAATCTAAGATGGCGGCTGCCCGAAATTTTTAATTTATCGTCATAAGTGTCGTTTTCACGGTTTTCGAGGGTCGTGTAAATGATGATGTTGTCAAAATGCTAATCTAAGATGGCAGCTGCCCGAAATTATCAATTTATCGTCATGGCTGTCGTATTCACGGTTTTCAAAGGTGATAAACCTGATGGTGTTGTCAAAATGCTAATCTAAGATGGCGGCTGCCCGAAATTTTCAATTTATCGTCATGGGTGTCGTAATCACGGTTTTCAAAGGTGGTAAAACCGATGGTGTTGTCAAAATGTAAATTCAAGATGGCGGCTGCCCGAAATTTTCAATTTATCGTCATGGGTGTCGTATTCATGGTTTTCGAGGGTGGTAAAACTGATGGTGCTGTCGAAATGTAACTGTTCAATGGTGTACAGTGTGTTCCTTGTACATTGTGTTTAGGTTTGTATAATTTGTATTGATTAGAACTTTGCACCTATGTGGATCATAAACGGAAAAACTATTCTTCTATTTCTGCCACTTACAATAAAAAAAACTGCGTTTAAAAATACCGACTTCTCAAATACTTAAAAACTAAAAAAAACAAGTGAAAATTAAAAAGCAAATAAAATAACTATATTAGTACTAATGAGTTACTCACACTGACCGACTTGTAGTCGGTGCCATAAGCTCATTGTTGGGAATGGGTCTCTTCAATAATAGTGGATTGTATGTAAAAAACTGGTATATTACAATTAAACGGTAAGCTTGTGTTATGTCCGCGTCGTCCGCGAACGATCCCAAAAATAAAAAAGAAAGATTATGGCCGTGCGCCGCTTCCGCTCGCGTCTCTCCTCCCCCGCGCGCCCCGCCTCTCTTCCGGGAGCGTCCGGCTGCGTTCACGCGCAGACACTCATATTTTTGACAACCCTGGCCTGGCCGATGCGTTGCTGTCTAGACGAAGTTGCCATTTTACACGAGATCAAAGCCGTCGTCCTACTGTATGATTTTTATACTGTGGTAATAACATAGGCAACTTTTATTTTCGGAAATTGAAACAAAAAAGAATGTTCTGTTCTAAAATTCATATTCTATGCGGATAACAACTAGTCTAAATATAAGAATGAAACCCGTTTCCCGTTGTCACGCCATAACTTGAGAACGGCTAGACCGATTTGGATGACTTTTTTTGTTGTGTTTGTTATTGTCAGGGGAAGGTACTTACGACAGATACCATCGAAGAGGTAGACTAAACAAACATTCCAACAATTCACAGCATGCTTTTACTGATGTTGCAGTATTCAACTACAGTACAGTGTCTCCAATAAATGATTGAAAAGTAGTGTAAATCCTACGCGAACGGGAGAAAACAGGACTGCGCGTACGAAGTCGCGGGCAGAAGCCAGTATTTAATAAGACAGAATACTGACTTAAAATGTTTCCGTATTTTTTTTTTTGCAATAAAGTGGCAACTGGATAGTGACGTAGGCATGTGTTACCTACTCACGGAATGTGGTAGAGAGTAAAATTTGGTAGAAAATATCGAAAATGAATTATGTATATCGACAAAAACAGACGTGAAACAACGCTTGCGTTGTGTTTAAAAGCAGAGGCCCAATTACCACTTCCCCAGTCTCCCCAATCCCCGGATTCCCCCACAATCCTCAAATTCCTAATTCCCAAAAGGCTGGTAACG